TAGAGTATAAATCGCGTGGTGCTTGGACATCTGACGGGGCCCGAATATTCTTTTTATGCCATTCGAGATTTACGACACTTGCTATTTCACTTGCCATAAATTGCCCAAAAGCGATTTTTTCATACTCTGTTGCAAGTTGTCTCATTTGATGATCGAGCGGGTCGACTCTTTTGGGCAGGGGACTTGGGGAATGCAAGAGATGACAAGGGAATTACTGCTGCTGGGACCGCGAGGGCATCAGCAGCTTTACTAGAGGCTTCAACGAATGAGGAAAATGGTACTATTCTGGGTTGATGGTGGAACTCCCTTCCTCGAGGTCCCTGGCGCCCATAAAGTCTAAATAGTGTCGTCCCTTGGTCAACTGTCATTGTACACTAACTCTTCCTCGTGCTGGTGGACCCCAGATTGTTGTGTCCTTCCCGTCAATGGTCGGTCGGTGTGTGCTGCAGTCGCGTCCTTGAATGGGTTTCCGTCACGTTTCAGCCAGCACGGAAATTCCGTGCTGGCTACCGAGCCTTCACGGCATGCTTGAGAGAGCAGTATCACGACCGACTCCACGCCTGCTCGTACTACGAGCCTCGTGGTGCTGTCGCTGTGGTCCGATACATGTCGATGAGATACTGGACTTGGATATGCTGGACATGGACTACGGTAATGAGGGGAGATACCCGATAGGAAGGGAGCTTTTCATCGACAATTTTCGGATGCTTCCGAATGTGAAGGTGTGAGAACTCTCTAGTAGAGTCCTCGGTCAAAGAAACTGCTCAGCGCGATTTGCGTGGGTGGGCAAGACTTTTGCTGACATAAAGGTCGACATTCAATAGAAAAATTGTGCTCTTTCCAATGGTGTCCACGGCGGTTGCTCACTCATCGTGGTTAACGAGGAATCCGTGGTTGAGAAGTTAGAGTTTTTCCATTGATGATTTATCAGAGAACGTGAGTACGTGCAGCAGTATGTCAAGCATGATACGGGACTTGAGCCTCTGAGGCTTCCACGAGGATTTTCGCACCAAGCAAGCGTTCGGCCGTCACCTTTACCCACTCGAATGAGTAAGCCATCGTAACGCTCATCACCTTCGGTCAAACTCAAGTTCAGGTGACACCTCTAGTGGCGGTATCGTCATGCTTGATCCTCTCGTCCTCTACGGGGACTATCCCATGACCTCCGGGTAGCAATCGCATGCACCATCATCATCAACACTGTCCCTCAGTTACGACTTCTTCATTCATCTCCTGCTATTCTTGGGACCTTTCCTTCTCCTGCGCTACTTGAACCGACGGCTTCAGTATCGCCGGTAACATCACCTATACATTTGGACACCCTTCTGACGCAGTTGCTCATTTTTCGCCCCCTTGCTATGCCCGTGGTGATCGTCGGTGGTGGTATCATGGCAGCATCAACTGCCTACTATCTGGCTACACTAGACAAGTCAAGCATCATAATAGAGCAAAAACAGTGGGGTGCTCAGCCAGTGGCAAGGCAGGTGGGGCCTCAGTCTAGTTCACTGTGTACCATTCATGAACCACGAAGGTCCGCCCAGTTCCGAATCTTCCACTTCAAAGGGTGAGTTTATTTTTCCTATCAGGCCGCTTCCTGGCTAGAGCCTGGTGCTCCTCGGCTGGACAAGGGGACCACACGATCCAGCCTTATGGATTCGGAGACGGCTCAGGTGAGCTGCAGTTTCTCCTGTTGCTATGGCACTGACGGTCCTCCTGCAGGTGAGTTAGGGTCTCTTATATCTGAATTGTCCGACTGATAGTGATTAATAGTTGCAATCATGAGGTTATTAGCAACGGGGGGCAAGTAGCATCAGCATCACTCTCTTTGCGACCGTGTACTATCTTAGAAGCACGAGGAGTGGAGTGACTCAACTGGAGTCCCATCGGTCTGTAGTATTGTTCCCATCATAATGGTATCGCCCCACTCCGTGGATAGACTATGCTGTATCCGTGACCCTGTTGCCAGCCTAGCGTACCACAAGTGTCTATGTCAGTAGGCGTCCTTCAGTCAGTCAGACGAAGCCCACAAGAACGTGATCTCCTGGGCTAACGGGGATGGCTTGAGGTAGGGGTTTTGGTTAAGCCCTGTTGCCATCGATCTTTGTCCTCTGTCGCTCCTGCCATTTGTCCCTCTGGCCTCCACCCCCTTCAATCGGGGCGTTTAACTTCAACAGTTGTCACTAATAATCGATAGTTAGCTACTCGATACTAGTTGATAAATTATCACTGATAATCAAGTGCCCGAAAAAAAAAGTGCCCGACAGATGCTGGTTCATAATAAGCCATTTATTGACGCAGAGACACTGCAGCTGCTGCGATGTTGTTGCAGATGCAGTAGCGAGAGCTCATAGCTATACGATTGCAGGCCATGCACTCCCGACTCGGGAAAATTTGTAGAAGGATGCGATGAATCTCGGGCGCAGGGGTTACCATGCTGCGCAGTGCATCTCCAGCGGTCGGGTGTTACGTTTCCCGGAAGTATTCCCGGCCCCTCCTAGCATGGCCTTCGGGCCAGAAGGGAGGATAGTAATTTAAGTGGGTTTTTTTTATCTTGGAGTATTGTACATGTTTTTAAATATAAAAATAGTGGGATTGAGTTGAGCCGAAGTGCTTAAAGGGGATGAGTATTAAATGTAAGATACAAAACGCGATACGGAGAAATGGAGTCCCGAGTCCGAAGTTAGTTCGTACAAAATAGTATTCTACCGGGATCGATCCCACAACCTCGCGTTACTAACCTCACATGCCTAACCGACACACCATTCTGCCGTGAGCAAGATGCTGTGCAG